GTTCTTGATGCAATCAGAACAACCTGGAGAATCTCGACTGGTGTGTTCAGGACAACTTTATGAATACTGGAATATGGCGAGGAAGCTACCTGAACAACTTGGAGAATATTGTTTGTGATTTGCATCATTATAGTAACTAGAAGGATTATGTAAAGATGCTCTCAGGAAGACTTGTGAGATTCTTGAGGAAGACTTGTGAGATGGACTTTAACTGGGTGTCCATTGAATCAAAAATTCTTCATATTACCAAGTGGGCTTCAAGTAAAGATCTACATCACACTAACAAATCGGACCCAAGATAGTTTATTTATCTGCAAAGTGTTGGAATAATGCTCGGTTTAGTAATATACATGGTTTGTGGTTGTTGAAATAACACATGGATGGACTGTTTAAAGGTTATGAACAGTATTTTTGATGTTGTATAGATTTACTCTAAGAAACAGCGCACAAGACCTGATGGTCTAAGTAAGGCGGCTCCTTCTTATGTTGTTCAGCAGCTTTGTGTTAATTTCCGTGCAACCCTAAATCAAGTTATAGCTTTCAAGGCCAGTGATGTCAGTAGATTTATACGCAAGGAACCATGTTGCATCGTTAGCTATATGAATTTCTGCAGAATCAGCATGGAAACTGTAGAATGAGCATCACGCGTAGGAATGGCTGGCTGGTGGTGGAATCTCTCCGCCTTGAAGGCCACCCCTGGTCTTCATTCCACCACTGTCCGCCGTCTTCCTCACCAGAGAAGCTTCTAGAATGATGGGACGGAAAGAGGCTGCCACTGAAATTTTGCCTCAAGCAAAATTTGAAGCCCATTTGGAGATTACCCCGAATTAAGAACATAAGAGACGCCAATGTTGGATCAGGCCAATGGCCCATCCAGTCCAACACTCTGTGTCACACAGTGGCCAGAAATACCAGTGCCATCAGGAGGTCCACCAGTGGGGCCAGGACATTAGAAGCCCTCCCACTGTTGACCCCCCCCAAGCACCAAGAATACAGAGCATCACTTGCCCCAGAGCCCCTAGCTATACCTTGTGGCTAATAGCCACTGATGGACCTCTGCTCCATATGCTTATCTAATTCCCTTTTGAAGCCGTCCATGCCTGTAGCTGCCACCACTTCCTGTGGCAGTGAATTCCAAGTGTTAATCACTCTTTGGGTGAAGAAGGACTTCCTTTTATCCGTTCTAACCCGACCGCTCAGCAATTTCATGGAGTGCCCACGAGTTCTTGTACTGTGAGAAAGGGAGAAAAGTACCTCTTTCTCTACCTGCTCTTTCCCATGCATAGCCTTGTAAACCTCAATCATGTCACCCCTCAGTCGTCGTTTCTCCAAGCTAAAGAGCCCTAAGCGCCTTAACCTTTCCTCACAGGGAAAGTGTTCCAACCCTTTTATCATTTGAGTTGCCCTTTTCTGCACTTTTTCCAAAGCTATAATATCCTTTTTAAGGTGTGGTGACCAGAACTGCACACAGTATTCCAAATGAGGTCTCACCATTGATTTATGTAGGGGCATTATGATATTGGCTGATCTGTTTTCAATACCCTTCCTAATAATCCCCAGCATAGCATTGGCCTTCTTTATTGCAGTCACACACTGTCTCGACATTTTCAGTGAGTTATCTACTCCTCCTCTGCTGAATTTAAAAGGGAAAACAAAGATGCAGAAACAAATCGGTACAGAGGGAAATGGAATCTTTATCTATTTGTTTATTTGATTCGATTTGTATCCCGCCCTCCCTGCCTAGGCAGGCTCAGGGCGGCTCAGATTAAAAAGTTAAAATGGATTAAAACACAAATCTTTAAATGACTCTCCAACTCCTATGCATTTCGCGGGCAGCTTTGTCAGAGAAATCTACTTTCAGATTCTTCCTGGTTCCATATGTTGCCGAAGACTTTCACGGCCCGAGTTCATCAGCTGTTGTAGATTTTCTGGGTTGTCTGGTCGTGGTCTTGGCACTGTAGGACCTGACGTTTCGCCAGCGAAACAATGCCAAGACCACGGCCATACAACCCGGAAATCTACAACAGCTAATCTTCCTGGTTCCTTTCGCATAGGCTCACTTAAACAGAGTACGTATAAAAGGAAGCCAAAGATTTATAATGGGATTGGCCACATTTATCCGTGGGGTTTTACAAACCCCTCATGACCACGTCTCACCTCATGGCCTCAGTCAAGAACCTCAGGGTAAGACTGGAGTAAACAGTGAGGAGTAAAAATGAGGCTTTGGGCTGAGCGATCGATAGCGCTGTGGATCCCAACGGTCTACTTTCAGGCAACCTTTTGCACGTCAACATTTAAACTGAGGGGCCCTTGCATCTGGATCAGAAAAGGTTCCAGGGACGTTTTCCAGTGTGCACTGTCCATTTGCAGAAAGCACTGCAGCCAATCCTGCTGCGTTGTATCTGTCCCCGTGGTGAACATGCTTCAGAACACACAGAGGGCTTTGCGGCGGCTGAAAACTGCACGGAAAAGCTTTCCATAGACCTCCACAGTGCTTGGAAGTTAGCCAGTTAAAAGAGAAAATACGTATTGTGTTAAGAAATTTTATTTGAATCTGTGATGAGAACACATAATTACAAGGGGAAGGAAACATAATGCCACAGAATTGCATAGGATCCTTACAAAAATGGTGAATTATGCATCTAAAAGGCTGAGACGCCAAATTACATACATCTTCAACGAGAGTATTTCTCCCCCTCAACTGAAAGGAAATCACTGTTTTCCAATCTGCCAGTGGCATGCAATATCCCACACCAATTTACAGGAGCCAGGTTAATTTCAAAGGAAGTCCACACACCTTTGTTCTTTTAGTTCTCCTTAAAAGTAAACCACTTAATTATGAACATGTCCAATGCAAAAATGTCTGGCATTTTATGAGCTAAGGTTCAGCATGCACTGTCAAAAACAAAGGGACTCTCGGTAGTGGGAAAGAGATGTGAAATGTACAATAGCGTTCAGTGCAGCTGATGGCCGCTCGAGCTTCTAAAGCAGAAATGTCCACAGTATATTTCCACAGGTTCAACACGTCACAAGGCAAATACTTAAAAGGCATAAGACTCTTACATCAGAGACTCCTTTTTTCATTACCTTACTTTATTTCAAGTAATATTAATGGTCAATGATATATCACCGTAAGTTTGAACAAGGCAAGATATACAATCTTACACACTAGACTACAACCGCAAAAAAGGGCACTGTACATATATATATATTATATAAAATGTAAGTACAGTCAATGGTCAAATACAAATGTACTGAAAACCCAACTACAGCTGATAATATACTCTTGTTGAACCATTAACTTTTTAAAATTATTTCATAAATTAAAAAGCTCATTGAATTTCTCCTAGACTATTTTGAAGCTGCACTGTACACAAGCATGTCAAAAGAAATCGTCTTATCGTTTCTTGTAAATACTGCGATTATATTATATCCTGTCTAACTGAAAACAATTTATCTAACCTTTATCTTATAAAATGCAGCATTAAACTTTTTTGACCTTTAAAGTTTTTTTTTCTTTTTTAAATGATTAATATTGATCTTCAAAGTGCAAAAAGTAGAACAAAATGACAGGAGTCATATTCTTAAAATCAAAAGGAAAGTGTAGTTAGAATTACACCCTTTGAATTACTCCAGACTTTGTAAGATGAGTACACAGTCTCTTGTATATACTCTTCAGACAGTGTACAAATTTCTTCGTGCGTGCTATAAATTAACAGAGAGAAAAAATACTGTTCAGCCAAAGTTTTAATTTCCCTATGTACACTAAGCTTTTAACTCAAAACTTAAGTTTGATCTCTATTTATTGCTTACATTTAAATAAAAGTAAGTTATTTCTACGGAGCTCCTGAGGGGAAGCCAACTACATATATGCTGTTACGTATGAAAAGGCTTTGCAGTCATCCGACTAAAAATTTAGTGTTTCAATATTACCCACAAAGTAGTTTCTGTGGGCGTCCAGAGGGGCTGTAACCTTTCCCAAGGTTAACTATAAATAGGTTCCAGGGCCAGAACACCCGTGTCCACATGCTCCGTATCCTTACATCTTCTGCCTGACTAATTCTGCCCCTCCTCCCCGAAGGGCTCCACCTCGGAAAGACTGGTTTGATATATACATTCTGGAGACGGCATTTCCCACATGCAAACTGTACAGTTTTTAAAACTATGGAAGAGATGTCTGTGTGTTAGATACTATACAAAACATTTTCAGAATTCAAACATATGATTGCAACCATAAGATAATAGTTCAAAACAATACTCCAGAGTCCACAAATTGATATTTGAAAACCAATGTACAATATCAGTCAAAGGTTCTTGTGATTTCCCTAACTACACAGCAGTGATAACAGAGATCACCGAGCCAGAAAAGCGAAGTTTCTTTATTCCTGATGTTTCTTCAGATCTTTAGGAGAGCAGGTTCCCAGCAGGAACACATGGGTCCTGTGCATACCATGGGGTGCATACATGGGTGTGTGTGTGTGTCTATGCACATATATGTGACTCCACAACATATGAAGCATATACAAACACCCGTATGCTTCTAGGGGGAAATATCTATATTTCTTCTTAGAAACGTATGCACACTACCAGAGTTTCCATGGAAGGTCTGAGGACCAGATACTTCTTATATACGGTCAACGCCACAAGCTGCTGGTGGCGTTTTGCAAAGGAAAATAAAACTAGGTGCAAATATTAAGATGGTACAAGCTTTAAAATGCAGTTACAGAGGAGGAAACAAAGGCCCAAAGGGTGACAATTTGTTTAGAACACTTGGCACTGTGGCTTCACACAGGGTTAGGGTCTGTGCACATTTACCTTAAAATAATAATAATGCTGGTCCTCAGGGACCGGTCCAGCGGGGCGACACACAGCTTGAAAAAATGCCAGTGGCCCATCGGCTTGGGGAAGGGCCACGCTGGTCAACGCCCGCATTTCGAATGCGCTGCAGTTTAGCATGCTGATATGACAAAGGCCTACAGACATAGAACACGCCCAGCCCACTGGCTGCTCTTATGAACACACCCTTGTCCCTACGGACGTCTGCCATGGCGGAGGCTGCCCGGTGGCCACTCAAACGAGGACAGGGTCCGGGGGACGGCGTGGTGATCTGCTGTGTCACAGTCATTCAGGCCCGTGGCCTGGCGGGAGCCGTTAGAGGGGGGTGTCAAATTCTTTCCCTGGATGGTCTTCCAGCTCTTCGTTTTGCGGTGGCTTATAGTTCTGCTGCTTCCCGCCACCAGATGCCAAAGGAGGAGGGGTGGGGCTGCGGTCTCCGTCTTCGCTAATCTTGCCTTTCATGGCTTCCTGGACAAATTCCAGGATTTCCAACGGGAGTCTTTTGAATTTGTCTTGGTATTCTTGGTCAAGTTCAGCCTGTAACTGGAAACAACAGCAAATAAATAACACGACACACAACCTGTGTTCTTTCAGCCACTGGAAAACTGACAACTGGTTTCTGTAGGGACCGAATGCAAGACTGCCATTATGGCGACTGCAAAGTGAAAACGGGCCACAGTGTTATTAAAATTAGGGATCATTTTTACAAAGTGAGTTAGCTCCATCAAATCCTTGTAGGTTCACCATGTCTTCCAGTATACTCAAGGACAAGGGAGTGTTGGCCCACGTTCTTCATTAGGAACATAAGTAACCGAAGGCTATCAACATAAAAAATGAAGGGTCCAGAGAATCAAAAAACATTGTCTCTCAAGAAATCAGTTGACTAAAACTGAAACAAATTCTCAGAATTACCTTTGCAAATTATGACTTTAATATTCTTTACAGAGTTTCTTGTGCATGCCCTAAATATTCGGTATCTACGTTTGGTACCTTAATGAAGATATTCGGACACTAGACACCACAGCTGTTATCTGAGAATATTTGGCTGTAGATGTCCATCGATCACAAATTTAATTCCATCCTCCCACCAAGAAGCACAATCAGGGTTGTATACAGGATTCTCCCCCCCATTTCATCTTCACAGAAATGTTGTGAGGTACAAGTAAGGCCAAGCGAGTGAACAACTTGCCTGAGGCAAGCCTCCTCTCACAGTGGGAGTTGACATCATTGGTCTATGACAGCATGAATAACTGCTGGGCAATGCTACATCTCACAGTGGTTTCCCAGCTTCCTACTTTCAGGTCAGCGAACAAGTTCCACATTAGAAAAGAGCAAGAGTCCAGCAGCACTTTCAAGACTAACAAAATTTGCGGCAGGGGAGGAGCTCTCATGGGTCACTGCTCACTTCTTGGTATTCTTGGTCAAGTTCTTCAGAAGTGGGCGGAGACTCACAAAAACCCCTCCCCTGAGGTTCCTGAGACAAAAGGAGAGAATCTAAAACAAGTACTGGGCGATCTACTTGCACCAGTGGCAGATTTGAAAATAGAATATCTACAAAGTGAAATGGATCATATTTGGAATATATTAAGAAAAATAATCTGCCTGGAGAAATAGTGGTTAGATTCTCAAAAAGACATGTGAGGGACCAAATCTTGAAAACAACATCAAGTACACCCCTGAAAATCAACAGTAACACCATACGGATACTAAAAGACATTCCATTTGAAATTAGAAAGAAGAGGAAGAAATTCAAAGACTTGGCATTGTTTTTACAAACAAACAACATACAGTACAAATGGCTGGTTCCCGAAGGCTTACTCTTCAGAATAAATGAGAAAAAAGAAAGAATTGACTCTGTTAAGAAAGCAAATGAGTTCTTGAAGCAGCAACTGGGAAGGACCGGAGAAGATGACAAAGATGACGACCAGGATAAAGAAAGTGGTGAAAACTCTTCTTCAACGTCAGAGGAGGACTCTGATTTGGAGTTGGGGGCGGCGGCCCCCAAAAGGGACTATGATTTGAGGAAAAGAAATTCCAAGAAATGAGATGCTGAGGAACTCTGAACTTCACCTTTAAGAAGCTACATTTATCTTTGATGCTTTTGTGATGGCCTTAAACAGTAATTGATATTGGGTTTTGGGGAATATTGGCTAGAGTTAAACATTCAAGCTCATTGTATTATTAATAGTTTAGATCCATCATTTTATAAGCTTATGTGATGATCTTCACTACTTGGGTTTTTAGTGGTTAACTTTCCTTTCTCCCATAGATATTAGATTCCCTTCCCTATTTTCTTTGTAGTTTATAGAAAAGCAATAAAAAAAACCACTTCGGGGGGCCCAAAAAACAAAAAAACAAAAACTCCTCCCCTGCCACAAATTCTGTTAGTCTTTCAGGTGCTCCTGTACTCCTGCTCATTTCTCCTGCAGCAGTCAGACTGACACGGCTCCCCATCTCGATCTATCTGAAGAAGTGACTGCGGGGACTCACGCGAGCTCCTCCCCTGTCACAAAATGTTGTTAGTCTTTCAGGTGCTCCTGGACTCTTGCTCTTTTCTCCTGCTACAGACAGACTAACAGGGCTCCCCATCTTGATCTGTCTGAAGAAGTGACTGCAGTGACTCACGCAAGCTCATATATCCTGCCACAAATTGTGCTAGTCTTTCGGGTGCTCCTGGACTCTTGCTCTTTTCTCCTGCTACAGACAGACTAACACGGCCGCCCATCTTGGATCTATCTGAAGAAGTGGGCAGGGACTCAGGAAAACTCCTCCCCTGCCACAGATTGTGTTAGTCTTTCAGGTGCTCCTGGACTCTTGCTCTTTTCTGCTGCTACAGACAGACTAACAGGGCCACCCAGCTAGATCTCAGTACCACATTGGCCTCTTTGTGAGGAAGAGGCGCATTAGTGGGCACGTACTTGTTCCGCAAGGGGCATGCTTGTAACTCACTGCTGCCCACTGAGGCCGGAGAGCGGGCCCTAAGAACACACCCGGCCTTCCTAGTTGATGTTCGCTGCAGAGAACTATAAATAACAGTTGTCAAGCTGTATCCCTAAAAGCTGGTCAACCCCTTGACAAACCTTTGGACAACCCAGGGCTTCCACTGGACATCACAGGATGGTTGGTGTGAAATAATAAAAGAGAGATGAATGAGTGGTAATTTTTTTTAAAAAATCTCACAGCACGTGACGGAGAGTGTTGGACTGGACGGGCCTCTGGCCTGATCCAACCTTGGCTTCTCTGCTGTTCTTATGACTGAGAGTGTGTGATGACGATTGCCCTATAATAGTTGACAGCTTACAAGGCTTTATTTATTTATTTACTTCATTTCTACCCCACCATTCTTCCCGATGGGGACCCAAGGTGGCTTCTAGCAGTCTTTTCTCCTCCATCTTGTTTTTACAAGTACCCTGTGAGGGAGGTCAGGCTGAGCGCGTGGGACTGGAGGTCCACCAGCCAGCTTCCACGGTGGGTGATCTGAACTGGGGTGTCCCAGGTCACAGCCCAACACACCAAAGTCAGACAACTATAAAGACACTGGTGTGTGTGTGTGTGTGGGGGGGGGTCGGCCGTGCTGGTCTGAAGCAGCAGGACACAGTCTGAGTCCAGTAGGGGCACCCTGAAGACCAACGAAGTTTAATTCTGGGGGTGCGTTTTCATGTGCTTTGAAGAAGCGTGCCCGTGCACACGAAAGCGGATCTCCAGAATGAAATTTTGTTGGTCTTAAAGGTGCCTGACTGGACTCAATCTTTGTTCTACTGAAAATGTATATCATGCACTAAAAATTCACACTTGAAAGCTGAATCGGGAGTAGGGGATTTGTTCATGCTCACTTCACCCTGAAGCCCACAAACTGAAGAACTGCGGTTGGTTTGTTTGTTTGTTTGCACGTCTTGATTGTTCTGACCTCGTTTTGAGAGTGAGCAATTTATGCCCATGAATATTGCTTGTGTGTAGGTTTGAAAATGGGGTGGGTGGGCGTAGTGTAAATAGGTGTTAGACACCAGACACAATGTAGAGATTACACGTAACTGAGTCAGCTGGTCAGGGAGAAGGAGCGTGGGAGAGAGCTGCGGGAGAGGCCACTGTTTTGTTTTTGTTTTCTCTTTTGCCTTTCCTAAATGGCTTGGGGAGCAATGCTCCCTCTAAGCTGAGGAGCCCTGTGAGCAAAAATCCTACTTGGTAAACTACCAGCATTCAAGTTGGGAGCGAGCGATTTGTCTGCTGCATAAATGAGTTTGCTCTGGAGCCCCGTCCTTCCTGAGCTACGACAAAAACGCCTGAGCCAGAGGCTAAGAAAGTGTGAGCCAGCTTGCACTGACTTGGCTTAGAGGGAACACTGCTCAGGGGGAGCATGAGCGGAGGTGGTTGTGTGAGAGGGTGAGGGGATGCTCGTGGCCTGCTGGAGAGGGGTTTCGGAGCCCTGCCCTCTGCTGTTGCTGTTGAGAGGCGGGGGGCACCATCGCTCGAACCCGAAGGCTCCTCCTCGTCAGAGGTGCTGGCTGTAGGGGCGAGAGCCGAGGGGCTCTTGGCCTGTGCCTCTCAGCCTGGGGACCCTGCAAGAAGCGAAGGAGTTTTTGCAATCCTATACACGTTACCAAAAAGGACAGGAAGGAAGATCCAGCCGCTAGACTGTCCAAAAAGCTCCCTATTACTTCAAACGGAAGGAGCTTTCTGTGTTGAAGGGAGAGCGTACACTTTGTCTGAGGAAAAGGCGGCAAAAACCCGCTTCTAGTTCCCTCAGTGGCTTCCAGGCAGTATGACAAAAGGGAACTGCCACACCCACTGGGAGTCGGCCTCTGAAATCCGGGGCTGGGAAGCAACACCAGGGGAAGGCCTCGGCCTCTGGGCCAACACCCCCTCTAAGCTGTGGGGTCCTGTGAGCAACATTTCTACTTTGTGAGCTACTGGCATTCAAGTTGTGACCGAGCGATTTGGCCACCGCGTAGATTACTTTGCTCTGGACCCATCCTTCCTGAGCTGAGACAAAAATGTGTGAGCTGGAGGCTAAAGAACTGTGAGCTAGCTCACACTCACTCAGCTTAGAGGGAACACTGCTCTGGGCCCTGTTTTTCTAGTTGTACCTGAGCACTCCCTTGGAGCTTGGAGCATTTCCAATTGGACTTAAGAAGATCTGGGGGCCAAGGAAATGTATTCCATATTGATGAGTTGCTATTGTCCCATGTTGTGTCACAAGAAAATTTGACACCACTTGACTCCACAGGTGAATATCTCAGTGTGGGTAAGGTCCATTCTGTGCATGGTCAGTTTTAAGTACGTTTTTGTTAAATTAGTGGAGTGCTCAGCTTGAATTATACCACACGGTTGGTATTGGTTCCTGTACATGGAGATAATATGTGCTTTTAAACCTGTATTTATGTAAACAGACATTTGTGTTTATATTGGGAGTAGGCCCTGATATGCTGAACCACAGGATTGTTGTTTTAAAGTGAAGTATATAAAACTTTTTGTACTTTTGCACTATGTGCATAGTTATATTTCACTTTCTTTTTCTTTGTCCCAACCTTTTTGGTTACCTGGCC